TGCTTTCCCAAAGCCACCTCCCCATCAAACCTTTCTTTCTGAGTTGCACTCAAGGGGTTGGGAGTGAGAGGGATGGGACAAAAATCATACCTGATCAAGATTTGGTTCCTCAAATCCCAGATTTCCACAAATTCACTGAAACAAGCCATTAGTATGTGGCCATCGGAGGAGATTGCTATGGAAAAGCACCTGCTGCCTTCCGAGGCCAGCTGTGTCCTGAGACGGGGTGTGGGTGCCAGGTCCCAAATATTCAGGCCATGTAACAGACCTCCTGTGACCAGGCTCTGCTCATCAGGGAGCAGCTTGCAGGTAAAAATACAGTTGTTATTGCCCTGTAGGGATGGTTCACAGTCTTGGAAAACCTCCTTAAAACACTGGACGCCCAAAGCCCTACTGCAATAGCCCTCACCTCCAATCTTAGATGGTCCACAGGGGCTTTATTCCAAGCACGCAGGGCACTGTTATCCCACACCTTCATGTAGTTGGTGCCGCATGTGTACACATGCTGGGTAGAGCAGCTGATGGCAATGGCACTGACAGCCCTTTGATGGCAGAGTCTGCCAACCTTCCAGGCACAATATGGGAGCCTCTGCGTGACAACTGCTCCCTCTGGGACGGGGGGCTGGCAACGAAAAAGGCATAGCCTGTCTGCAAGTATCCTGGAGTAGCCTTTCCCCCTACCCTCCGAGGGGATTCTTAATCATCTATCCAACGGCCCCTCTGTGACCCACCTGCCGCCACCCTACAACCCCTGCAGCACTGCTAGGTCTTTAGGCTCCCCAGACCATTGACAGCCTTTGTTCCAGGCCAGGTTGTGCTCACAGCCACAGTTTGAGGCAATTCTGAGTGCCAGCAATGGACAGAGACTGGAGAGCTCCGTAGGACAGATCTCTCAACGGAGGACACGGAGCTGAGGGCCCGACATGCAGGACAGTGACAGGAAGAAGCCAACTTGGCCCATGCCCAAGAACTCCGGGGCCACACCCCCTATGGAATGGAGGATGGGAATAGGAGCTTGCATGCACTGAAGTGTGCCCTCCCCCCCCCAAACAAAAAACCATGTTGGATTCCTATTCCCTTACTTGTGGATGTAATTCTTTGGGGGAACAGGGTTTCTTTGTTATGTTAATGAGACCGTACCAGTGTAGC